TTTAAACATATATATTTATTTTATTAGAATATAATTTTTATTTTTTTAAAATATATTATTTTTTTGAATAAAAAAATATGTATGTGTCAAATAGTGGGCCAACTGCCCCACTCTTTACAACGTCCGTCATAGGTGAAGGGGGTAAAGTATTAGCAAAGCTTCATCAATAGATCACAAGCAAATCACATAAGTAAACTTAATACCACATTTAATCCAAATTATTAAGGTATTAAGAGGAGTGTATTGGTTTAGGATTTCATAGGATTTTAAAAGACTTTTTTGAGTAAAAAAATTCATTGGTATTCAATCAGGATTTTATGTCACTTAAAAACAATCCAGTGGTATTCAATATGGATTTTCAAGATTTTTTAAAGAATCCATTAAAATCCATTGGTATTCATTTGAGATTTTTTACAACTTAAAAACAATCCATTGGTATTCAAAAATATAAGGATTTTAAAGGATTGTTGTGTGAGAGGGATTTTGAAGGACTTTCTAGTGTTATCTATAAATACCAAATTCATAAAAAATTTCATCCAAACCCATCGGATTTTGAAGGATTGTTTGAAGTGACTTTTCAAGAATTTTCAAGTCAGTTTTTCATCTTCTTTTTTTTTCTATGCTCCTGTCTTCTCCATTTTTTCTCTGCTAATAATACTGCACTATTATTTATTGCTCATATATAATATTGTAGTATTATTCTCATCTCATTCCCCTATTTTGTGAAACTCCGATATGTAAATGATAGTGTCATTGATTTGCTCTATTTTTCTGTTTGTTCTCTTTAATTAACTTGTTTTATTTTATTCTATGTAGTTGAATTTTTTCTTTTATATAACACAAAAAAGTGCTTGAAATTTCAATTTTTAAGTGATAATTTTTTTTATAACACACGTCAAGAAAAGAAAAAGATGAAAGATGAAATTGATATCATAATCTCTACAATATATAATATGTAAGATGAATTTGTTAGGGTTTCTGTGAGTAGAATGAGATGAAAATGGATCTTAGTTGGGAGAAGAACCCTCTCAGCATAAAAACTGTGATTTCTCTCCTTCCTTTAAGTTTGTTACTCTTATCCCTCTCCTTTTACGACTCAACAATTATTTTATTTTTTTTACTATGAATTTTTCTTTTTATTTTTATATTGTGAAATTAAGACTTTTTATATTTTAAAAAAAGAAAATTAACATAAGACATTGCAGTATCTAATTTTTTAGGGTTTAGGATTTATGTCTTCATTAGCTTATTTTTTAAAAGAGGAAATATTGTTAAAATATTTGTTAGAGTAATTTACATTTATAAATATTGTTAAAAATTATCATATAATATATAACTAAAATAATATATATATATATATATATATATATATTATATATATCTAAATGCTTATTCTTTAAATAATAATAATAATTATATATAATTATTATTATTATACTAATATTATATATATTGCATATGTAATTAGATAAATATTTTTTTGGTGGATTGTGGATTTCCTAATCGACGCCAATTTTTAGCTCCATTTCGAGGTGTAAGATATCATCTACAAGATTTTGCAGGTTAGGGTAATGACCCTAAAAATGAGAAAAAATTGTTCAATCTTCGTCATGCATCTTTAAGGAATGTGATCGAGAAAATATTTGGTATTTTTAAATCAAGGTTCACAATTTTTAAGTCAGCAGCTCCATTTTTATTTAAGACACAAGTAGAACTTGTGTTAGTATGTGCAACACTACATAACTTTCTACGTAAAGAATGTCGTTCTAATGAGTTTCTAATTGAAGGGGTGGATGAACCTTCATCTTCAACGTTACCAGTTAATGAAGATCATACTTTTGAACCTATTATTCAAACCCAAGAGCAAGAGCGAAAAGACGCTAATGCTTGGAGGACTAGTATAGTTATGGATATGTGGGTGAATGTTATTTAAGAGGATAAGATATTATAGAGAGAATTATTATTATTGTTATTTATCTAGACATTATTATTTTTTATTATTTTTGTCTTTGACTCTTTTTAAATTTGAATGTATGAATTTTTTTTTGAAATCTTATCAAATGTCAAAAATCCACGAAAATTCTACAAAATCCCACAGAATCCATTAAAATCCTTATTTAAAAGTCTTGCAGAATCCATTAAAATCTTGATTTTAAGTCTTGTAGAATCCTGCAAAATCTTAAAAGTCATGAAAATCCTGCAAAGTCTTTTAAAATCCGCAGGATTTTTTTAAACTAAAAAAGTCCTTTAAAATCCTAATCCAATACACCCCCCCTAAATTTGCTAGTCCTTATTTATATGTTACTAAACTTGTCCATTCCTATCTAATATGGGCCTCCATATTCACATTTGCATTCCAAGACCTATCCTCTCGAGTGTAAGTCTCTTTTCACGTGGTATGTTCCACCTTAAGTTGGAGTTTTTTCCTTTCATGAGTATTCAATGATAACCTTTAAAGCTTAGTCATTACTGACAATATGTTCTAAATACTTACATTGTCATTAACTCACATCAACTAAACATATCACTAGACCTCCATATCATCAATAAGGCTTTTGATATAAGAGATCCCCGTTAATAGATCCACCACTTCACTATGACTTAATAGTCGTCTCGATTGCTAATCTAGTCTCACCCAGTGATTTAAAACTCGGATCGAACCGGCCGGTCGAATCGGTTGGACCGGGAACCGGTGGTCTAGCCAGTCCGAATCTTAAGTTGGATCAGTTATGCAATCGACCCGTTTCAAACCGGATTGAACCGGTCAATTTTTTGGTTCAACCGGTGAACCGGTGGGTCAAACCAGTTCAACCACTTTTTTTTTCTTTTTTTTTTTATAAAAAAATTTTAGGGACCATAAACCACAAAAATAATAATGAAAATTGAATCTCTTAATGGAAGAACA